TCACCACGAAGGTTAGCTATAGTTACTGGCTCACTGAAAATGTCCATGTTTTTGTTTCCACAGGGAAGGTACCAGGTAATTTCAGTCAGTCCATTGGATATTCTTCTTGGAGTGTCTCCACACTCCATGTTGCGGTGAGCAAAGGTGTCATGGTTCATCTGAGAGTTACTCAGGAGTTGATTGAGGATGTCTGATTTGGACATGGAGCATTCACCAAGTCTAACAAAAGAGACCATTGGAAGTTTAGAGATAACTATTCTTTCTTCAATAAACCCCTTTGATTCTGAAAGAGCTGGAGGTCTGTACTTCTTAACAATGTCTCTCATGGCCCACAGCATGAGGGTGCACTGCTTTGTATCACAGTTTGGAAGCAGAAGGGGAACAGAAAACTGACACATGGCCATTTTTAGTGCTAACTCTTGCTGAACAAACCCATCGGAACACAGGAATAGAGCAGTGATTATATCCAGAGGGTTAAATTTTCCAGCCTTATTTGGGCTGTCAAACAGATCCTCATAATTGTATTCTGCTGTCTCAGTTACATCATCATTGTTTGACTCAGAAGGAACATTGTTTGATTCACAACAGATACATTCTGCATTTCTAGCAGTCACATTAACCATCATCAATTTCTTTAAAAAATACATTGTGATGTTTGATTTCCACTTGCCGGGGTCATCAGTAGTTGTCTTCTCATTGATCTCAAGTATTTGGCTCAGTGATAGCTTTTCTCTGTAGAACTGCTCCAACCCAACATCCTCCAAAAGACTCTGGAGGTCAGTCTCTGTGAATCATTAAAACATTTTTTTTTATAGGGCTTTTCAACCTGGTTTTTTAATTTTAATTTTTTTTGACTTGCAATTTCAGCACCGCATATCACATTTTCACATACTAAGTATTGAACAACGTTCTACAATGGAATTTAACTTTATTTTGGTTCCAAAGCCTGGTCACACTTTAAAAATATATAAAATTCAACATAAATTCTGTTTTAACATAATTTTTTTACTCTTAGTGCTATGTTTATAGTAATTTAGGGCTTAAGTTGAGTTCTTACATTATTTAGATGTATTATTGCATGATTTGTTAATGTTTGTCTGCATCACTGTCTGTGCATCACAACAAGGGTGAGGTGTGAGAGCCAGGGCTACTGGAGCTGATGCAGGTAGGTCTCAAGCTGTTGTAAACTATCAAGTTGCCATGTCTGACTGATATGTAGAGTTTATAATTATTAAATATTCTTACTTCTACAAAAGCCTTCGTCTGACAGTCATAGAAGGGGGAAATTGTGAATAATTTTTTTTGCAGCTAGTATGGTGGCACTAACCACCTAGTTATATTAGACTCTGTGTTAATTTCCCACTATTCAAAAACATGTCTATGTTAAGTCTTTTCGAGGTCGCCTTTGCCAACTAGCTGGTCCCCCGAAGGCTTAAAATGTAACACCAGATGACGTCTTTTTCCAGCATCTATCAGACGTCCAATTTTGACCTCAACAGGACCACGAAAAGTAGTGCAAATCTGGTGACTGTAGATGTCTTTTCTAAGTCAGATTTATACTCATTTTAGAAGGTAAAAGTCTGCTACTGGGCTGTGCATAATACTAACCAATAATTTTTTTCCCCAATTACGTTATATGATTGTCTGAGAAGCAGGTAAATAGAAATGCTTGTTAAATGTGTAATGCATTTCCAATTCAAACCAGCTGCTGTACCAAATCTAAACTATGTGCTAGTAACTTCAGCAGAAATACTCCACTCTGTAAAACTACATGTACCAAGTTCTGCAAATCACCATTCCTTTATCAAAAAAGTTAAGTCAGTCTGTTGACTGGGTTCTTCTTTGTTGAAAGCTCCTGTCTCTTCTCCAAGATACTTGTTGTTGAGATGTCACTGATTTTACATAAGAGACGCCCCTCTGAAGCCACACCCCTGCGTCAGAGTTTATTTAAAGAAGTGGCTCCTATTCGACTTCCTGTTGCCAGTGGCTGAATTGGTTTTACCATCGATTTGAACAACCTATTAATTAACTGCAAGTTAAAGCTCTAGTTATTTAATGTAATCAGAAACTTCTGGTAAACTTGCACAGCACTTGTGTAAGCAGTTACAGAAAAACCTAGCCTAATAATCATTGTTTACATTAGAGATAGAGAGAGAATATTATTTGTCACATTAAATATGAGCATAAACGTAAGAAATATGTATTTATACCTCCATAAATTCTAATTAATAAATTAATTTCATATTTTATATTTGTTCACTTACATTACCTAGTAATTAAAATTTCTGCTTTGGTCAAGGGATTATTTATTTAATTATCTATTTATTATTGTTGAATATGGCAGAATCGGTATACTAAAAATTGTTTAGTTTACCAGGAATGTCTTGCTATGAAATTTCTATCAGAAATCAGTGTGATATGGGCCAAAAACCCTCACAAATATCTGAATATATCAGCTTCAATATAACACCTCCTATATGAGCTAGCTGATAAAAAAAAAAAAAAAACTCTGCTTCCATCTCCTTCTGATTAAAGTTTAAGTAACTCGTTGGCTAATAATAAATGTGACAGTTGTTGAGTTGTTGCCTATTGTGGTCTGTTTGAACAATATCACTTCGTCAAGCCTTTTCTAACATTACACACTATAGAATGACTAGTAGTTCTATGATACATGATTCAATATGCTATCAATATCTGTATCAGAAAATAATCAAAGCTGCATTATCTTTATCTAAAGCTAAAAATGAAATGGTAAGGTTAAATTAAGCAAATATGAAGGATTTTAATGTGGGGGTGTAATATCCACATCTAATGGGTACCCTGTTAAATAACTTTGGCAGTTTTTTTACAAGGACTAATCATTTATCAAAGAATGAGGGCAATTTCATATAGAGAGCTTTAAATAAAAATAAATGAAACCTTAATTTAATTTAATTTGTAACTGTTAGCCATAATGGGTATCTATGCATTGACACCACATTAGTTCTTTGTGAGCAATGAGGGATACCTCTGGCCACTAGTGGCGGGCGGCTGGTGCAAGTTTCTCCATAGGGGGCTATAAACTCAACAAAGATGTATACCAAAAACAATCAAACATATACCAAGTTATCACACCAGTATATTTATATGAATACCAGCAACAAAAAAACATAAAACACTTTAAAACAAAACAAAAGAGAGGAGAGGATGAGATTGGCTGATGTATAGTGAGATTCCGCCTGTCAGTTGGGTAGGTGGGTGTTTCTGCTGGCAGCACACACAGAGAGATGGACAGTGAGGAGGACTCCAGCAGAAAAACAGCGTTTTGCAGATGGAAATACCGGTGTTACGTGGAGCTGCGTTTCCCCATCAGTAGTGTTGTTTTCGTTAACAAAAACTAAACAAAAATATTTCCGTCAACGCACATTTTTCACCCAACGAAAACTAGACGAGACGAGACGAAAATTCCCCCTAGTTAACAATAACTGGGAGTAAATCAGAAATAATTTTCATGGACTAATAAAGACGAGATGAAAATGCAGTTCGGTAAATAAAGACTGGACTAAAATCAATGGACATTTTAGTTCA